TAAGGCATAAACTCCCTTTCCTTGTCTAAGAAACATTTTTTTCCCCTATCAAAGGTAGTTAGCTCAACATAGGCCCACATTGCCTTAATCACCCCTTTCCTCTTCCCTCCAATTACCCAGTCTTGCAAGATTATGAAGTCATTCTCCCACCAATGAGAAGAGACACAGTCACCACCTGCATTCAGGATAAAAGACAGAGTCTGTCTTAGTTAATTTCTATGGCCATGACAAAACACCATGACCAAGGCAACTTACTGAGGAAAGCGTTTAAAGGGGACTTACAGTTTCAGAGGATCCATGACCACCATGGTGTGGAGCCTTGCAGCAGGCAGGCATGGTGCTGCAGCAGTAGTGAGAACTCACATCTTGATCCACAAGCGGGCATCAGAGAAAGACTCAGAGTGTCATGGACTTTTGAAACCTCATAGCCCATGCCCAGTGACACACCTCCTCCAACAAGGACATACCTTCGAATTCTCCCTAAACTTTACTCCACCTGGGAACCAAGTATTCAAATACGTGAGACTATGGAGGCCATTCTCATTCAAACCACCTCAGAGGCCATCTTGGCTATGCATGCTTGCTGTCTGGTTTTTGGGTTCTGTCTCACCCTTTTGACAAAAAGAAGTTGGTTTGCCGAGTTGCTTTCACTTTATCTGTGAGTTCCTTTATGACACAAGCTTATTCTTTTCCCACACTTGAGTTGAGGCCACAGACAGTTCCTTTACAGTTACAAATTCCTCTCATGTACACTTCTGCTCCATGTGGCACAGTCTCCCTCACTTTCCTGCCTTGGTGATTGTGTGCCTCAGACCATTTGCTTCAGCTCCACTTGACTTTGATCATATGCTACATCTGTACTCACCTAATTCTGGTACCCTTTTCTTTTCTTTCTTTCCTTTTATTTCTTTTGGTTTTTTGAGACAGAGTTTCTCTGTGTAGCCCTGACTGTCCTGGAACTCACTCTGTAGACCAGGCTGGCCTCAAACTCAGAGAGATCCACCTGCCCCTGCCTCCCGAGTGCTGGGATTAAAGATGTGCACCACCACCAGACTTTGTTATCTTTCTCTAAAGGAAGGTGGCTACACCAATGTTCTTTCCTGAGTCTCTATTGCCATGTGATGGACTTGGTATAGTTCCTGTACTGGATTGAATGGTGTCTCAGTTTCTTTTGCTGTTGCTATGATAACACACCCTGGCAAAAGCACTTAGTATTTGTTTTGGCTCATGGTTGTAGGGTACAGTCTATATTGGTAGAGAAGTCCTGGATGTAAGAACTTGAGGGTAGCTGGTCACGTGGCATCAGCACTCAGAAAGCAGAGAACAACGGATGCTCCTGACCAGCTAGCTTCCTCCTTTTATGAAGTTCAGGACCCAATCTTAGTGTATAGTCCTGCTTTAGAGTGGGTCTTCCCAAGAAGGGTATGGTGGCACATGACTTTAATCCCAGCACTTGGGAGGCAGAGACAGATGGATATCTGTGATTTCCAGGCCAACCTGGCCAGCATAGTGAATACAGGACAGCCAGGACTACATAAAGAGACCCCGTCTCAAAACAAACAGGTTTTCCTGCCTCAAGTAAACCAATCAGAATAAACTCTCACAAACATGGCCAAGCTAAGTTCATCATGATACCTCACAGATATGCCTGAGGCTGGTCTCCTAGGTGGTTCTAGAGCTTGTTAAGTTGACAACACTAACATCACAAGGAGGTAATACCAGATCTCACAAGGCAGGGGTCCCCTCTGTTTTTTTTTTTTTTTTTTTTTTTTTTTGAGGTACTTATTTTGTACAAGGTACTAATTGGGTACTCAAAGACAAAAAACTAACCAACACACCAGGCAAGAGAACTCTAGAATTGGGCAGGACCGATCAAGTCTGGTTCTCAGGTTGGCCTGAAAATGATGCCACCAAATGAGGTAACTACAGAATTGGGAGGGAATACTACACATGACTGGCAGGAATCTCATGCTGGGAGAGGGAAAAGGTTGAGAGTCTGGTGCTGTGTCCAGAGGGGGAAGGGGTCACCCAGGAAGTAAGTTTCATCCAATTCTGATAGCTTATTGGACCACCTTTGCAGGAGACTGGAGCCAAGTCAATGGCTCAGTGATGGGCTGAACCAGTGATAACACCTCCCATGGACCCTTGAGAAAGTCAACACAAAAGTGACTTTAAATACTTGCTCAAATGAGCAAATAAGTGGGAAACACTGCCTTGCTGCCTGTGTTTGGTTCTGACCAGCCTCCTCTCTCTTCTTCTACTCAAGATGAAAAGTCATTCTTATGCTGGGCATGGTGGCTCATGCCTTTAATCGTAGCACTTGGGAGGCAGAGGCAGATGGATCTCTGATCTCGAAGCCAGACTGGTCTACAGAGTGAGTTCCAGTCCAGCCAGGGTTACATAGTAAGACCCTATCTAAGACAAACAAATAATCTAGTAATAAATAGTAAATCTAGTAAATAAATAAATCTAGTAAAGCCATTGTGGTCTGAGTCCATAATGTACCCAATATAGTAAATAAATCAATTTCTGGATCTGTGGATTCCTACCCACTTCCAGTACTCTGGGCTTGCATTGTGGGATCTCTCCAGGGGAATGATTGGAATCAATTACAACAGAACAGTAATCCAGTTGGAGATACTTACCAATGACCTAATAAGTCAATTGAAAATCAAGGGGGACAAGGAAAGTTTGACAAAGGTGGAGACAAACACAGCCTGAGAGACATCTCTTTCCAGTGTGCCTGTCCCAACCATCAGAGGAAAGTATCATGTCAGGGTGCATACTCTCAAATCCTGGATGACTATGGGTAGATGATCTAAAAAAGGACCATCAAGCCAGCTGGCCCCAAATGCTTGGAACAGCAAAACCATCCTCACCCATTGTATCCCAATGACAGTTACAGGATAGATCTCTCCTGACTTGATTCAACACATTATTGTACATTGTCTATCATAATGGTTTGCTATTGAGTAGTCACAAGGCCAGGAGAATGCAGAGTAGCTTCTTCTAGCACCCAGTGACTCTGTAGTGCTCACCCTTGTCCCTGATTATCCCTGGGATGGATTAGCAGATGTACCCTAAGATTTCCTTAGTCACTTGAGTGACAGGGTTCCCAGTACCCAAATGGCACTTCATAGTTATTTGTAACTCCGGTTCCAGGGATCCAATGCAGTCTTCTGGCTTCCATGGGCAGTAGTTGTGCATGTGGTGCACAGACATACATGCAAGAAAAACATTCATACACAAAAAAGACTTAAAAAAAAGAATACAGGAAGGGGTTAATGGGGGCCTACCCTTCCTTCAGGATTTATATGCTGTTACTGGTTGACAGATGAGAGAGAGAGAGAGAGAGAGAGAGAGAGAGAGAGAGAGAGAGAGAGAGAATTTCTTCATTGCCGTGGCCACTGATAAAGTGCGCATGCTCCTGAACAAATTTTCACCCATGCTTCTATAAACAATTGCTGTGGGATGTCTTTCTGCATGCTGCGAATATGTGTTGCTCTCATTGGTTGATAAATAAAGCTGTTTGGCCAATGGTGAGGCAGAATAAGGTTAGGAAGTACTTTGAAACTGAAGATGGAGACGAAGAAGGGTGGAGTCAAGGGAGACACCAGCCCACTGCCCAAGGAGCAACAAGATGCCAGCAGACTGGCAACACATGGCCACATGGCAACATATAGATTATTGAAATGGGTTAATTAAGATGAAAGAGCTAGCTAGCAAGAAGCCTGAGCTATAGGCCATACAGTTTGTAATTAATATAAGCCTCTGTGTGTTTACTTGGGACGGAGTGGCTTCAGGACAGGCAGGACACAGGAAAACTTCTAACTACAAACAGTACTTATTAAACTCATTCATTACACACACACACACACACACACACACACACACACACACACACACACACCATGAATGTAGAAGAGGGGTTAGTTGGGAGGAGGAATGGATCAGTAGGAGTGGGAGGGGTGATAGTATAACAGAGGTGTAGATATGATAAAATTATGTTGTGTATATATACATAGATTATATACATAATGAAACTCACCATTATGTATAGTTAATACATGCTACTAAAATCATTTTGAAAAAGAATGGGCCTGGTGTTCTCTAGTCTGGTCCAACTCATTCTGGAAGATTCTGGAAGGCTAAAGGCCTAAAAACATTGTGTTCTTAGGAACCGTTTTGTTTGAAAGCGACTTAAGAAGTAAGACATACAGAACAAGAAATGGTGGTGATCAGCTGACTTCAGGTGCTTCCTCACTAGGGGACTTTTGTTTTCTCTTTTTGATGGTGGATCCACCCTCAGATGACCTTACGATAATGTATTTCCATGTCCGTATCCCTTGGTTACCCTTCTAATCCTCAAAATTAGTGAGTGGAACCCTACAACTCCCGAGGCAGAGAAAGACTGATATTAAGGAAGCATGTTGACAGCACTGTCACTCTGTCACCCAGTGTCATAGAGCTCTGTCCTGTGAATGACAGCTGTCATCTTCATCAGAGCAGCTGGGACTCTTGCAGAGACTCCGAATATCAGGCTCGTTGATGGTGATGTTCCTGTGTAGAAATAAGGGGTGGGGCTGAGCAGTGGTGGCCCACGCCTTTAATCCCAGCACTCGGGAGGTAGAGGCAGGCGGATCTCTGTGAGTTTGAGGCCAGCCTGGGCTACAGAGTGAGTTCCAGGACAGGCTCCAAAGCTACACAGAGAAACCCTGTCTCAAAAAACCAAAAAAAAAAAAAAGAAAAAAGAAAGAAAGAAGGGGTGGAATCCTTACCCGAGATTCTGGCCAACCCCCCTACACCATAGCCAGCTGTATGTAATTCTGCTGCAGGACCATGCGGTATCTGTTATACGGCAGTTCCATTAATTGAACAATTCCCCTGGCAGGGAGTGAGAAGCTCAGGAGGAAGGTCACATGTCTGGAAGGCTCCTCCCCGTCTTTATAAAAGGAGTAAGCCGCTGTTGGAGGAGGGTGTCTGACCAGTCAATCCACAGAGAGAGGACCTTCTCTGACTGGAGAGCTGCCTGTGAGCTGTGCAGAGGGCACCAGGGCTGCAGCCTTCTCGAGCTGTCACCGTGTTGGGCGGGCTCTGGGTGGTGCAGCTGCTCTTGAGTCTCCCCTGCTCCTGTAAGTACCCCTCACCCACACTCCTGTTAGAAACCCCAGTAAAAAAAAGGCTTGCTCACCATGGCTTGCTCATCCTGCTTTCCTATTCAACACAGGACCACATACCTAGGGATGGCACTGCCTAGAGTGGGCAGAGCCCTCCAATGTCTATCACTAGTTAAGAAAATGCCCTACAGCCTTGCCTACTTCAGCTTTTGTCACATTGACCAAAACTAACCAGGGACATTGAAAGGTTTACAACAAGCCCCCACGGTCAGGCGTGTCTGCCTATGCCTGGCGGATACTTCCGCCTGGCTAGGTCCAGGTCCAGATAGCCATTTCCGGGTCAGGGCATCTCGCGGGACCAAGATCCATGACGTCCCACTAGCCACGTAAGCGCGCAACGTGGCCATGTGATCTACGCGCTTGCGCGTAGTAGTGACGCTGATCTGTCCCACGCCCAGCCTTTAAATCAGGCGCCATGTTCCCGGTTCCTTCTTCCTCTCCACACACGTGTTTCCCACAGGCCTGCTCACTCTCTGTCCCTTTAATAAAACTCTTGTTAGCGGATTCTGTCGTGTTTCGTGGCATTTCCTTGCAGGGTAAGCACACAACGCAGTCGAAAAACTAACAGACATCCCCAAAAGAAAAGAGTTCTGTTTTGTTTGTTTTTCAAAACAGGGTTTCTCTGTGTAACAGCTCCTGGCTGTCCTGGAACTCATTGTGTAGACCAGGCTGGCCTCAAACTCACAGAGATCCTCCTGCCCCTGCCTCCCAAATGCTGGGATTAAAGGCGTGTGCCACCATCGCCCAGCAGAAAATAGTTCTTGTATGGCAGTTTCCTCCAAATTGAAACATTTAGAGGGGGAGGCTCCTGAGACTCAGAATGAAAAGGAGACCTACCCAGGGTTATAGAAGCAGAAAATAATAGCTGGGGGAGGGGACTCTGAGCAGCTGAGCTGCCAGGAGGAGGTTCTAGGACCTGACAACTGCCTTCAAGCTATGCAGAGAGCAGCAGGATTGCGGACTTTGCCTGTGTTGGGGGTGACTTTTCAGTGATGCAGCTGCTTTTGAGTCTTCTCTGTTCCTTTGTGTAACCCCTCAGCCACATTCTTGTTGGTAAGCCCAATTAAAAACTCGGTTCATGAAGTTGGACTTGGTGTGCAACTGTTACTTTGGTCTGACATGGGTTCCATCTCTAGGGTGAGTCGATTTATTTGGATTTGTAGCTTGTAGTCCACAGTCAAGAGAAGCCAAAGAAGGAATCCAGATGGGAGCTGAAGCAGTGACCACAGAAGAATGCTGCTCACTGGCTTGTTTCTGCTGGCTTGCCCAACCACTTTTCTAATTTTGCCCAGGCCCACCTGCCTAGGGATGACACCATCCACAGCAGGCTGGATCCTCCCACATCAATCAGCAGGCAAGATATGCCCCTCAGGACATGCCCACAGGCCAGTCGATGAAGATGCTTCCTCAACTGAGGTTCCCTCTTCCCAGGTATGTCTAGGTTTGTATGAAGTTGACAAAACTTACTATGACAAACCTCCAAAACTAAAAGCTAATTTGGTACCTTTTTGGAATGTCTGGGTTGTGCTGGATTTGGGTTTTAAAGTTTAGTCTCAGTCCTAGCTAGAACAATAAGACAACAAAGCAGATCAAGGGGATACAAATTGGGAAGGGAGAAGTCAAACTTTCACTATTTGCAGATGATATGATAGTATACATATATAAGTGACCCCAAAAAATTCTATCAGGGAACTCCTACAGCTGATAAAAACCTTCAGTAATGTGGCAGGATACAAGATTAACTTAAAAAAAAACAAAACAGTAGCTCTCCTATATACAAATGATAAATGGGCTGAGAAAGAAATCAGAGAAACATACCCTTTATAATAGCCACAAATAATATAAAATACCTTGAGGTAACTCTAACTAAGCAAATGAAAGACTTATATGACAAGAACTATAAGTCTCTGAAGAAAGAAATTGAAGAAGATATCAGAAAAATGGAAAGACCTACCATGCTCATGGATAGGTAGGACTAACATAGTAAAAATGACCATCTTACCAGAACTAATCTACAGATTTAATGCAATCCCCATCAAAATCCCAACACAATTCTTCACAGACCTGGAAAGAGCAATACTTAACTTCATATGGAAAAACAAAACAAAAACTCAGGATAGCTAAATCAATTCTGTACAATAAAGCAACCTCTGGAGGCATCACCATCCCTGACCTCAAGCTTTACTATAGAGCTATAGTGATAAAAACAGCTTGGTATTGGCATAAAAACTGACATGTGGACCAATGGAATCGAATTGAAGACCCTGACATTAATCCACACACATATGAACACCTGATTTTTGACAAAGAAGCCAAAACTATACAATGGAAAAAAGAAAGCATCTTCAACAAATGGTGCTAGCATAACTGGATGTCAACATGTAGAGGATTGCAAATAGATCCATATCTATCTCCATGCATAAAACTCAAGTCCAAGTGGATCAATGACCTCAACATAAATCCAGTTACACTGAACCTGATAGACGATAAAGTAGGAAGTAGTCTTGAATGCATTGGCACAGGAGACTACTTCCTAAATATAACACCAGTAGCACAGACACTGAGAGAAACAATTAATAAATGGGACCTCCTGAAACTGAGGAGCTTCTGTAAGCCAAAGGACATGGTAAATAAGACAAAAAGACAGCCCACAGAATGGGAAAAGATCTTCACCAACCCCACATCAGAGGGTCAATCTCCCAGAATATATAAAGAATTCAAGAAACTAGACCTCAAAATACCTAACAATCCAATTAAAAAATGGGCTAAATAGCTAAACAGAGAATTCTCAATAGAAGAATCTCAAATGACTGAAAGACATTTAAGGAATTGCTCAACATTCTTTGTCATCAAGGAAATGCAAATCAGAACCACTCTGAGATACCTTCTTATAACTGTCAGAATGGCTAAGATCATAAACACTGATAACAGCTTATGTTGGAGAGGATGCAGAGCAAAGGGAACACTCTTCCACTGTTGGTGTGAGTACAAACTTGTACAGCCACTTTGGAAATCAGTATGGTGGCTTCTCAGAAGATTGGGAATCAATCTTCCTCAAGACCCAGCTATACCACTCTTGAAAATATACCCAAGGAATGCTCAATCATACCATAAGGACATATGCTCAACTATGTTCATAGCAGCATTATTCATAATAGCCATAACCTGGAAACCTAGATTCCCCTCAACTGAAGAATGGATTAAGAAAATGTGATGCATATACACAATGGAGTACTACTCAGCAATAAAAAACAATGACATCATGAAATTTGCAAGCAAGTGGATGGAACTAGAAAATACCATCAGAAGGATAAACAGCAAGCCTTCATTCAGTACTGATGGAATCAGATGCAGAGATCTACAGCCAAGTACCAGGCTGAGCTCCCTGAGTTCAGTCAAAGAGAGGGAAGAGGGATTCTATTATGGTGTTATTTTATTTGTGCTGAAATGTGATTTTATTTGTATGTTAAATAAAGTTGCCTGGGGATCAGAGCTAAGAGCAAGTCATTAAGCAGAAGTCTGGTAGTGGTAGCACACGCCCTTAATCTGATCACATGTCAGGCAGAATCTCTGTGTGTTTAAGGACACAGCCAGCATGGTGACACATACCTTTAATCTCAGTACCAACCATAGAGAACTGGAGGTCTGTATAGACAGGCAGTGACGAGGAAGTCATGTGGTTGGGTTTAGAGCCAATGAGAAGGCAGAACAGAAAGGCAATAAAAAAAGGACACAGGAAGAAGGTCTCTCTCTCAGGTGAAGGAACAGTAGCGAGTGGTAAGATAAGGTGGTCTTAGCTCTTGGCTACTGCTGGATCTCTGGGCTTTTAACTCTTTATTTGGCTCTGTGTTTCTTATTTAATAAGGACCGCTTAGAATTACACCTACATTCTATGAGTACCCTTGATGAGCATCAAGATCATGATGGGGAAACCTACAGATACAATCAAACCAAACTAGTGGAAATTCATGAAATTTAGACCAACAGCTGTGGAGTCTCCATGGGACTGGACTAGGCCCTCTGCATAAGTGAGACAGTTGTGAAGTTTGATCTGCTTAAGGGCCCTCCTAGCAGTAGGATCAGGATCCATCCCTGGTGCATGAGCTGGCTTTTTGGAGCTCACTATCTATGGTGGGACAGCTTGCACAGCCTTTGATGCAGGGAGAGGGGCTTGGACCTGCCTCTAATGAATGTACCAGGCTCTGCTGACTCCATATCTTGTTGGAGAAAGGACTGAGGGAGTGGGTTGGAGGGGGGAAGGCTGAGGGGCGGGAGGAGGGAAGAGAGGGGAAAAAGTTTGGTTTCAGGGCTGGAGACATGCCTCAGTCATTAAGATCATTTGTTATTCCTGCAGAAGTCCCAGGGTTTAGTTCCCAGGACTCACATGGAGGCTTACAACCATCTGTAACTGGTTCTAGGGGATGCCTCTTCTTATCTCTGTGGGCACTGGCTTGTGTACAGTGCACAGATAGACATGTGAGCAAAACACCCATATACACAAAAATGAATACAAAGTTTTTTTTAAAGATTTATAAAAAATTAAAATTTGGTCACACTGCTGATCTACTTTATGAGGCCACACCCTCCCATCCATCTCCTCACTTAAACCCCCTTCTCTCCATCATTCTCTCTTTCTCCTTCATATACCCATGTTCTCCTAGTCTTTTCCTTAATAGCACCCCCTCAACACATCACTTTATCTAGAGTGTTACAGTGGAAAAAGTGAATCAGTCTTTACCCTGACTCTGACTGAGTACACTGCTCTGGCCCTTTGTGCTCATGCTGTTATGAGGGAAGAGAGAAGGCTCTTGATAGAAAAAGCTCTTCCCAGTTAAATATGACCCTGGGAGTTCGTGTCTTCAGATACTGTCTAGCACTCACACAGGTGGTGGTGATATACATAAGGGGACTCCAGCAAAGCAATTTCATTATTATGCAGTGTGTGTGTGTATGTGTGTGTGTGTGTGTGTGTGTGTGTGTGTGTGTGTGTGTGTGTGTGTGGTGTGGGCTGCACTCCAGGGGCCAGCAGAGATGGCTGTGATGCCACGGAGAAGGATGGTGGTACACATGGATACAGATTAATAAAAAATGGCTGTTGGTTCAAGAGGAACATAAAATTCTGTTGCCCCAAGTTAATGGAAGGTTATTAAGGGATGTCATGACTCATGTCACCTGTAAGAGAAGCATTCGCTACTCTGGTCTTTCATGGCTTTGGGAGAAAAGGATTACAATCTATAAATCCCAGAAGTTGTCAGGGCATGCCCCTGCATCTCTGTAGGAACCCAAGAGGTGGGGCCAATCATCACCTTAATCACACAGCACAAAGAGGCAGACAGTCCCAGAAGACTGGCAATTAGATTTTACCCACTACCACCCTGTAGAGACTATAATACCCACTGGTGCCTGCTGACACTTTCTCAGGGTGCACTGAGGCCTATCCTACCTAGACCAAAAGATTCAAGAAGTTGTCAAGACCTTTTTTGAAAGAAGTTATTCCCCACTGTGGACTCCCCAAATCACTCCAATGTGACAACAGGCTTCCCTTTATCTGTAAAATAACCCAAGAGATCTCACAGGCCTTGGGCATAACCTACTATAGGTACATTTCTTTACTCTTTCAGAAATGTAGACTGGGCAAAGTTATCTATTAGGATCTCTCTGGCAAAAATATGCCCAGAAGCCCCAGAAATGTGGTTGTTAGCTTCCTAATGCTTTAAAAAGTAGAATCAGACTGGACACGGTGGCACATGCCTTTAATCCCAGCACTTAGCAGGCAAGAGGCAGGTGGATCTTTGTGAGTTTGGCGGTAGCTGCCCGGCCTACATGGTGAGTTCCAGGCCAGCTAAGGCTACACAATGAGACCCTGCCCAAAAGGACAACAAAACTCTTAGATTACAATCATAAGGCACTTTCAGCTCATGATAATAAGATCTTGTGAGCCACAAGGACAGCCAAGAAACTTTGTGTTATTTACATTCTGGGGGGAGGGGGTCCCCATCAGATCAGTTCCTTCTGAGTTGCAAGGGCCCTTTCCAAATCCTCTTGAGTCCACCCATGGTAGTAAAGCTATAGGGCCAACCCTTGTAGAGCCAAGCCTCCAAAAGGAAAACCTGCTCCTTTAGGTCTCCAAAGTTTCATATCATCCTGAACATCTGTACCCAAGAACCATTAAAATACTTAAAACTTCTATAAGAACATGTTTCATTATAAGTCTATCAGTCACAGCCTCACTTTTTGCCCTAAGTGGCAGCTTGGTAGGGTTTCATCCAGGTACTCTGAGTGCAACTGTACATACTCACTGACTACAACTTCTCACTGTTTCCTTCTATTCTACCCCAAGAGTTTCTTTTTCAGAATTGTCCTTTGAGTGCTCACATGTGTGTGCATGCACTCACCCGTGTGCAAGCATGTGTGTATGTGTGTGTGTGTGT